GCTAGCTGTATGCAAAAGGGGAGCGAAATTGAGTTGTCAAGCCTTGCCGAAAAAAATTGATTTTGTTTGATTCTTGTTGGGATTTGCTCTCAAATACATTTCATCATCCTTCATTGTTTCATAGATCAACCACAGAGTTACATCGCTAGCTATTTGTTTCCATTGCCTTTTGCCTTTCTCAGGGCGATAGAAGCCGTGACTTAAGTCATGATCAAAGAAAGATATATAAATTAGTATAAAAGTCTCTATAGATAGGCAAGTAGATAAATAGCATAACATACATACTTAAGCTAGTTAGTATTTTATCCCCGGAGTTGATCAACAACTGATTTCTCCGTAAAAAAACAGCTATTGTTCGGCAAATAGGTAACAAGAATAATGAATATGATCAACTAGAGTCACCTTTCTGACAGCGCTGAAAAGGTTTGTTGGCGTACGAAGATGGAGATCAAACAACAGGACTATACTGTGTGGATCACCAATGGTGCCGACCGCTGACTGGATAGCTTCAGTCTTGTGAAATGCACCGGAACGTTTCAGAACTATGTAATTCTTTAGTGAACTTCTGTTTAAATGAGGCAAAAAAAAAAAAAATGCTTGCAAAAATGTATTATAAATTCAAGAAATCAGTAACTTTTGGCTTCTGTTCTCCATTGCTACTTGCAATTAATGCAGGTTTGCACAATGACTCTGGACCCACTGTTTGACTAAGCAAGAATCGAGTTAGAAGCGAATTATTATCTGTATGGTCTATTACTCGAGCCTCCACTGACCATTTGAAATGGCAGTTAATACGTAAAAGCTAACCTTTAAAACAAATCTGTAAGTTGGCGTGGGATTGGGAAGGAGGGGGGGGGGGCGTTGGTGTGTTGGACTAGTGTTCAGGTTGTTACTTTCTAGTACTCGCACTGATTACAGAGCGCATTATTTCGTATTTTTGCGATACCCTTCAAGAAAGCAACAATAACCTTACGCGGATAAAATCCAACGCTCGATTGATGACTCTTTGACTTGCTAAAGCTTGAAAAACCACCAACAGCAGATCTCTATTTTTCTTCACCCCCTCTACGACTGATACTCACAATACTTGTGCAGAGCGCGGCCGCGCGCGGTCTGGGTACCACAATTCAAAAAAGTTCAAGGCGTTCCTTGAATCCTCTTTCGTTCGTGGCGTGCTACGGTCGACCACAGCTTCGGTTTATAAATTATTTATACGGCGTTTTCGCATATTCCAGTTCCTTGTGGGGGATTCTTCATTGGACAACGTGAGTTGTATTTCAGTTCGTTATGTTTATCATCTTTTCGACAGAGGATGGTCGCTTTTCTAGCGGATTGAGCGAGATGTTTACCTAGGCTCTCATTTGCATCGAATCCATTACTAAGTTAAGGCATGTGTCATTGACCGCCTTTTTGTCCTTTAGGACAACGTGAATAAGTCGGCTCCGACCACAATGGCGGATGTCGCATCACCTGCGTTGGAAAAGCGCATAGAACAGTCTATCGCAAAGGCTGTTCCAGTTATTCTGGCCAAGTTCTTTTCTCCGGGAGGTGTTGTTTCCTCCCAAGAGCCTTCAAACAAGAACATTGATTTTAGTTCCCCGAGCAACCAATCAGACGAGAAAGCCCCGGGCCCTTCCAATCGTGGTGAACGCTTCTTCTCAACAGAGGAGGATTTTGAGCTCTCTTCAGAGTTTCTCGATCTTACAACCAAGGCTTTCACTAAGTCTCTGACCAAAGAGAAATGGACAGATCTGTCGGCCAGTTACCCTCCAATCCAGGGGACGGAGGGATTTATGCGGGCTCCCACCATGGAAGCTGGCATGAAGGAGGAGTTCAGGAAATCTCATGGGCATCGGAAAACCAAGGAGGTATTTTCTTTTGATGGTGACCTAGCTGAGCAGCAGGGGCCTTTCCTCACAGTGGCTAGGCCAATTCTGGCAGCGTTGATGAATCTTGACTCCCCCCCCCCCCCGTAATGATGAAGGGGAAGGGGGACCTGACCTTGAGGTGGTCCGGGAGATGCTGGAGGATGCTCTAGTTCTACTGGGTAATGCAAACGCCCGTTTGAATGTCTGGACAGCGACGTTTCTCAGATTACCTAACAGATCTGGGCAGACGGACTCTTCGTGAGGGCATACCAACAGATAGGCATCTGTTCCCACACCAGCTCCGTGAAAAAATGGAGTGAGCATGACCACAAGGCTTCCACCTCCAAGTTGATCTGCAAACCGAAGGCAGGCCCTAAGCAATGGACTGGTTCCCAGTCCTTTCCTGACTCCTCATTTAGACGGGGACAGCAGTCCGGAGCAGACAGGAAGAGGAAATGGGCCTACAAGCCTGGAGACTCCAGTGCTAAGTACAGCAAAAACAATGGAGGTGCCAGACGAGCGTCAGATTCTACCCAATCCGCTAGCAACAGCAGCAGCTGACTATCTGTCATCTGCTCCTCCCCTTTCACTCTCGGACAATCAAACGGCAAACAGACTCGGAACTTTCTTAACAAATTGGGACTTTCTCACAACGGACAAATGGATTCTTCAAGCTGTTTCAGCGTACAAAATACCTTTCCTCAGACTCCCGCGTCAGTGGCGGGCTCGTCCGACAGTCGTCCAGGAAGGACAGCCGACGGAGCTAATGAAGGGGGCAATTCAGTCTCTAATTTCCAAGGGTGCCATTTCAGTAGTGGATCCCTGCCCACAACAGTTCATTTCAACACTCTTTTTAGTGGAGAAAGCAGCAGGGACAGGAAAGTTCCGCCCTGTGATCAACCTAAAGGCACTAAACAGATTTCTTCCAAGGGAGGAGTTCCAAATGGAGGGGCTCCACACTGCTCGCTCTCTTCTACGCAAGGGCGACTATATGATGAAACTCGACCTCAAGGATGCTTACTATGCAGTCCCGATACATCCGGAGTCGAGGAAATATCTTCGTTTCCAGTTCAAGGGAACAATTTACGAGTTCCGTTGCCTCCCATTCGGCCTCTCCCTGGCTCCCCGAGTCTTCATAAGGATCCTCCGTCCGATTGTTGCCAAACTGCGTTCAGAAGGGATACGAACAGTCATCTACTTGGACGATCTTCTCCTGATCCACCATCAGAAGGACACATTGAGCAAGAATTTCCTTTATGTGCGGAGACTTTCGTCCAGCCTGGGTTTCATAGTGAAACTGGAGAAATGTTCTCCGGAACCAACTCGTCGCTTAGTCTTTCTGGGTGCGGTACTAGACACAACTTGCATGTCAGTTGCCCTGCCAGAGGAACAGATCAGTCGGATGCAGGGAGCATGCCAGGAAATGCTAGACTCTCAGTAAACGTCACTGGGCAGACTGTCGAGCCTCTTGGACCGCATGAGCCACGCCGCACGGACGGGACCGTGGGTAGCACCACTATATTACAGAGCCCTGCAACGCCAGCAGGCTCTGCTTCTCCACCAGTTCGGATGGAGACCAAGGTGTCAGATATCATTGTCTCAACCCTCCCTGGAGGACCTGAGATGGTGGGTGTCCTCAGCTCCGCCGATGCCGATTACCGATGCGTCCTTACTGGGCTGGGGCGCAACCTGCAATGGCATGTCGACTGGGGGACGCTGGAGCGTGGAGGAGGCAGTACAACACTTCAATTGTTTGGAACTCAAAGCAGCCAGTCTAGCTTTGAAGGCATTCCTGAGAGTAGGGATGCAGCCACCACCCCAGAGTCTGGGCCACCACGCCCCACGTCATATTCTTCTGGAAATGGACAATACAACCGCCATGGCTTATGTGAACAGGAGGGGGGGGGCACTCGGTCACCATCTCTGTCCCTACTGGCCTTGGAACTGTGGTCCTTCCTGCTGACCCAAGGTTCATGGGTGACCGCCCGTCACCTACCGGGAGCGTTGAATGTAGAAGCAGACACAGCTTCGAGGGACTTCAACATGCGCACAGAGTGGACGCTTTGGAAGGATGTCTTTCGGGACATAGCACATTACTTCTATGTTCCGGAGGTAGACCTGTTCGCGTCGCGTTTGAACCATCAGCTGCCTCTTTATGTGTCGCGACTTCCCGACCCCGGTGCCTCAGCGGTGGATGCCTTTCAACAGGACTGGAGCCAGTGGAAGAGTTTCATCCACCCACCAGTGGTGCTACTACTTCGAATTCTTCAGAAAGTGAGAAGCGACAAAGCAACCGCCCTACTAGTAACCCCAGACTGGCCAGGTCAACCATGATATGCCAGATTTCAACCATGATATGCTCAGATTCAGCTCATGCTGAGAGGTCCACCGTGCCCACTTCCCAAGGAGAAGTCACTGTTGTCTCTGCCCTTCGACCAAGAGGCAGGTCACCCGCTGTGGCGGTCTCTCAATCTGACTGTATGGCCGATATCGGGTCAGCCTACCAGGCGGCAGGTTTTCCCGAGGAGGTGACTAATGTCCTTCTAGGATCATGGTCCCAGTCAACCAAGAAGCGTTACCAGGGTCCTTGGGGGGCATGGTCCAATTGGTGTTCTCCCAGAGGCCTGTGCCCCTTCTCAGCACCAGTCACAGATGTGTTGACCTTCGTGACAGAGACAGTGACAAATCAGTCCCTAGAAAATAGAACTCTGGCAGTCTATAAGTCTGCCATTTCACAGGGACATCTGCCTGTGGGTCAGACTAAGCTTGGAGACCTTCCAGTGGTGTCTCGTTTTATGAAGGGAATTTTTCGCATGAAGCCACCAGCTCCTCGATTGAGCACAACCTGGGATGTTAAGCGCTTGCTCGAGTTTCTCTCAACCCTGGATCCACCTGCTGGCCTTACACTAAAAATGCTATCCCTGAAATTAGCAGCATTACTGGCCTTGACTTCTTCTGCTCGTGCACATGAATTGATTAAACTGGATCTGGACTTTGTCTCCATGAAGAGCGATTCCTGGGAATTCTCTTTGGCTGAACACACAAAGGTGTCAAGACCTGGTCACCCGGCTAGGCAAGTTTATCTGCCTACCTTCCCAGACAATCCTAAGATTTGCGTAGTTAAAACCTTACAGGAGTTTCGATCCAGGACGGAGACCAGGAGGCAATCTTCTCGCCTCTTGATTCCATTTGTCAGACCGTTTAACCCATCTCAAGTCAAACTATGTCCAGATGGCTGAGAAAACTATGCAGCTAGCAGGGATTGCTTGCCACTTTACTGGTCACTCCACTAGGAGTGCCTCTACGTCTGCAGCTGCACGAGCGGGTGTTCCTTTGGACACTATTCTGGTAGCAGCGGATTGGTCCTCGTCAGAGACATTCGAGCGCTTTTACCTGAGATCCCCTGACAAGGGGGAGCTTGCAAGAGCAGTACTTACTGCTGTTCGAGAGTAACTGGCCCTATGGAACAGTTTTACTTTATCAGTAGGTGATTAAGTATCAGTAGGTGACCCATCTTTTTCTCTATGGGCCATTAGTTTTGTTATCAGTGTTGTTGCTTATCGGGTGTCTGAGCACATCTAGATCAGTTTCTGTCCTATGTTTTGAGGACTACAACTTTCCTGGAAAGTTTTCTGTTTTATAGCCTTATGTAGGTTTTCAGTAGGAGTTTCGTGTATCACTTAACAGATAGGGCTATTTAGTCTGGTTTATGTTGAGGATTATGGTTCTCATGTCAGTAACCCTTAAAGTCTGCACAAGTATTGTGAGTATCAGTCGTAGAGGGGGTGAAGAAGAAATTATATTTCCCCGGAGGGAAGGTACTTACCTGACGGGGAGATGTAGTTCTTCGAACTCCCTCGGAGACTGATA